TCACAACTGGTGTCTCCTAAAGGGCCTGAATTTTCCTTTCCTTCAAACCAGGCCCAGCCAAATAAACCTTTTGTACAAAGAACTGCACTGAGCTCCTGGACTTATTTGAGGGGGTAATTTAATCTCTGATCCTGGGATGAATATTCTGAAAGTTCAAAGGCTGCTTTTAGCATCGCTGTTATTTGATCCACCACTGTGTTTGCTGCCCAAGCTGCTTCTGCACTGAACCTACGCAGAAATCTCTCTGTAGAAATGCTCTACGGAGGGAAAATTGATTGCTCTGTGTTCCTGTGTTCTCATAGCCCATATCCAAGTTAGGATTAGGACCAACTGAGAGGAGCAAGAAGGGGAAAATTGTCTTGGAAAAATTAAAAGGAAGAGGAAGGAAAGAAGGGAGGAAGGGAAGGGGGAACAGGCACCAATGGAAATTCTGACTCTACACAGGGCTAATCCTCTTCCTGAAACTAAATGTACAGGTATATCTATGTCCAGGTGACTGTTCATGTCTGTCTACAAAACTAAGTTTCTCCTTTAGAAAAACACCCAGGAAGGATGCTCCTTGCATGGGATCAGAGGGCAGCAGCTTGTTCTCCTGTCTCTGCTTCCCACCTCAGCCAGACACGCCGGGAAATGTGTGACTTCCCTTCTACAGCCCCCAAATTTCACAGGAAGACTTCAAAAACATCCCCCTGCCAATCTCAAAGGTGTGCAGACCTGAGTTAGGCTTAGACTGGTGTAACCACCAACTTTGGCTGGGGACCAGAATCCCAACTGTCTGGAGCACCAATCCTGGGTTTCCTACAGGCTATTCCCTACCAGCACATCTAATTAGCTCCACTTACTTACATCCCATTAATCAGGTTAAAGAGTTTGCTTCAACATATGAGCTTCCCTCATTGCATTACGAGTTTGCTCATGGAATTTGGAAGGAATCCAGATGTTCTCCTCTGAGGGCCAGAGGTGCACCTCAGTGCTGTGCCTTGGGCTTCCCACAGGTGGGAGTTTTGGAAGAAATCTATACTCCAAAAAAACATGCTGTTGCTCAGACTGTAACGGTTTTCTCCTCTATTATTGACTAATTTTCACTATTATGCCTAGAAATGATCAAAATACATTTGAAAGCTTCAGAAATGTCCTTGCTGAAGGAATGGGTGAATCAGAGGATTTATTGATGACAACATTTTTGGAGGGCAAGATTCCTAGCCTGGGCTGGCAATTTCAGCATGTCCAGTTTGAGTGGAATACTGTCAGACCTATTTGTCTCCTGGAAGCACAGTTGCATAAATCACAATCCTAGGGTTGTTTTTGTTTAGGGGGAATGCACTGTGAAGCTCCAGCACACACTCAGAAACTGCTCTGCAAATATAAATACTGTAGCTGCTTGAAAACAAAGCTTTGCAAGCAAAAGAGGGCACTGACCACTAACATTTGTGAGTAGACCTTCATCATTTCTTTTTTTTTTTCAGGGAGAGTTTGACAGAAACCGAAACAGCAAAAACATCTTTTTGCATCTTTGCCAATTTACGCCTTCTTTGGACTGAAGGTTGACAGCTTATGTACAGCAGGCTCCACTTCAGATAGACACGGGTCGTCTGGATAATTGGATAACAAGGAGAAAAGCTGGTTTCCCAATCAAGACAACTAGCTGGATGACTGGACTTATCATTTAGGTCACAAGGAAAGGAGATTTTTTTTTTGGAGGGATCATTTTCCAGACCTGGTTCTTCTCCCATCCACTGTCCGACAGCCCTTGGCAACTGCTCAGAGTCAGAGGTGGAAGAGATCCATGTAATTCCCCTTCCTTGTGAAGGCTAGATTATTCCTCATGTTTTTTGGTATCCTCCAGTTTGATGTTTCTGGTATGACCAATCTTTGGGTGATTTCTGTCTGTGCCAGTAGCCAGACCCAGGGTTAGTGTTGCCATTCCTGCAGAGCAATGCAATGGGGTAGGTATGAAACAAAGACCCTGCAGATATCTCCTCCCCAAAGTGATCTGTGTGCCATGAGCACACACTTCCTCCTCACTACTGCAGCATATCAGCCCTGATTACTATATAAATCTACGTGTCAGCTATGCCCTAACAGTTAAGGCATTAAAAGAATCTATTTATCTCTTGCCATTAAGTGCATGTCAGGACCAGTTGAGCACTTGACAAAGTCTCACTGTCCACCCTACTGCCCATTTTTTGTCCACACAGTGGACCTGAGCACAGCACATGCACTTATCTTCACATTCCAAGTTAGAAATGTTCATTAGTTTGTGTTGTAGTTTGAGAAAGACTTTGCAAGTTTTGTTAAATCTCTGCAAAATCTATTTAAGGACTGACGAGAATCCAAGAAGCACCAACAGAGGTTAAAACATGCATAAGATAAAAGCATGAGTAAGTAAAAATAAATCATTTTGGGATTATTAGAAGGAGGATTCTAACTTCCACAATTCTGAGTCCAATACAGGAATATAAACACTGGTTTTGGAAGCAGCACCAATAGAGAAATCAACTACCAACAACCAAACCTACAGTGTCCTTTTGTGCTGAACTCTTTGCTGTCATTTCACTGCAGTGAGTAGGCAGAAGAAGGAAGAAAACGGAATGTTTTCACAGCTCATTCAGTTCAGCCGAGGCTGGTTACGATGTCAGTGGGTTAGGGGAAGTGAAAGCTCTCCCACTCCCCGAGGCTGGTTACGATGTCAGTGGGTTGGGGGAAGTGAAAGGTCTCCCACTCGTTAGGAGCCAACAAAGACACCTCTTTGAAGAGAGAGTAATGTACCCTCACACTTCTCTTGCCCCATTTATTAAGCAGCAGACAGATGGGAGCCCTTCCCCATGCTCCCAGCCTGAGGAATTGCCCTGGCAGCCAGTCCAACCCCTTGGCAAGTGCAGCTCTCCAGGTACCATCTGAGCAGCAGAGAACTTTTTATGTCTGTCTGGCAAGAGGAACAGCTCAAGAGCTGTTAGGGGATGGAAGTGGAAAGGGCACGGGAGTTCACAGCCTTATCACTGCATTTTCTCTGCTGCTCTGAGTCACCACATGCCCAAATCCTGAGAATAAAGTGTGTTAGTAGTAGTAGAGAGAACCTCACAACAGGCAGGAAAACACAAGAGTGTAATGACAGCAAGAGGAGGGTGCTGGGATGGGATGGGGGGAGTTGGGTCAGTGCTCATGTTACTCATTTTTGCTGCATACAATTGCTGCTCTGAGATGGCATCTATCCTGCACTCATTAGGAAGATTTATGTGTCTGGAGTAAACGCAGGGAGAAATCTCTTTGGATGAATTTGAGCTCAGTGATGGCATCTCTATAAACAGCTCCTTTCTGTCTTTACACCTGCAGTACTGTGAGCCTCATCTTATGCCAGAGAAGTTGGCACTCACTGCCATCAGCTGGGTTTGGTGGAAATGGAAGGAAAACATAGAGCTCTGTTCTGACAAAGGTCTTGGTTTGCCACATAAAGTAATATCAAGTCTCTGTGGCAGTCAGTCACTTTCACTTGGCATGTCTGGATGGCTTCAGCTTTCAGAGAAGTCATTCCCCTCACCTTTCCCCTGATGTTCACAGCCTGAGGGGCACTGACCCATTATCAACAGTGGATATCCTCCAAAAGTTCACACTGAGCACAGTATGGGTCAATAAGTGATGAAATATGTGCCTTTCTCTATTTCCACAGCATGTTTCTTCCACCTTCCCAGCCCTTTACAGACATGAGCTGATTGAGCTCCACACCAGCTACATGAAGCATCTCTATCCTCATTGCAGTGATGGAGCTCTGGATTTAGGGAGATGTGAATTGCCTCATCCAAGGCAACAAGCTGGTGAGGTTTTGCACCAGATCTGTAACAGACCCAGACTTAGTGTTCAACCAGCTCTTGCTGTCAACATCAAATCTTAAACCATCCTTTGACTTCATCTTCCTCAGGATGGAATCAGAGGAAAGACAGTTGGAATGGTCACTAGTTGGGCTAGGAAGGTGTTTCTGCCCCACTCAGCTTGGTTACTGCTGTCTGTACCTACACACAAGGCCTAAAACTCTGCTCCTCTGTATCCTCCTCCTCCAGACTGTGGGAGGCTGCTCAGTTTGGTACCTGCTGTGGGCTATGTGCTCACTCACCTGCAAGGCAGGGGATGAGCCCTGATGGGAGAGACCTTCTCCAGGAGCAGGGAGAGCTCAGAGCAGCACAACTGATACAGGAAGGCAAGAGCAAAAGGAAGACACAGCTCCTGCCCTATCCAGCCTTCCCCAAAAGGTCCATAGGTTGGCATTCCCACACCCTTCTACGACAGTTTCTCCTCTTTTTCCTTCCCAGGCAGGTTGCCAGGAGAGCACAAGCAAGCTAGCAGCTGATGTTAGAAGTCACTGTTACTGTTAGGTGCTGGTCACAGCCCAAACAATGCCCAGATCAAAGATGGGCCCAGTCCTTTCACTGGGGGTGTTTTTCAGAACAACTCGAAATTAATGGAGACAATCAAACTGCAGTAACTGCTCTTTAACATTTCTGAGCATCTCCTACCACCAGGCCCCTTCTGACAGCTTAATCTCTGACGTGCCATTCCATTTACTTAAACAGATGATATAATTTATCAATATAATGGACACTGATGAAGATGGATTAATTTGGATTACAGAACCAGCGGCTCTATCCAGGACACAAAATGAGGATATGTGTGATTATGACATTGTTTGGAGCAGGGTGGGAAAGGGCAGCAATCTGCACAGAGAATTGGATGCTCCAGGGCTGGCAGGGGAGGGAGGAGAGCCCAGATATATGCTAAGGAAGCTTGAAGTGTGAGCAATTTTCTGCAAGTTATTTGAGACTTCTCAGACTAATTTCTTCTTAGAAGCGACTTCTTTCACACCGAGATACCCACGGGAGTTAACCGTCAGAGAGACAGCGGACAGAGAAAAGCAAAACTTAAACCAAAAAAAAAAGAAAAAAAAAAAAGAAAAAAAATCACCATTGGGTGAGATGTACGTGATCTCTGATCACACCTCTTCTTTGTACCTGTTCCTGATCCCACGATGTCCCTGCTGGGGGATTCGCACATCGCGTCGGCCAAGCGCTCGCGCAGCCCCTCCTCGCTGTGCTCCATGGACGACATGTGGCGCAGACCGAAGTTCTCGGGCCAGCTCCCACACACCTCCAGCAAGGTCACACTCCGGTCGAAGGCACCTTCAACAAACAAACAGGACAGATTTGGGACACCCTGAGACCAACTTCGTACGTATGGCGTCCGAGAGAAAGCAGCTCTCGGCGTTCCGAGCTCCTGAAAGGTTCATTTTACCACATTGGTGTCACCAGCACAGCAGGACAAGCAGAGCTCTAAGTACTGAGCACTTTCAACCAAGCAAAAAGGGTAAATCAAAAAACCAGACCCAGTTCTGGTCTCGCACCACTGAGAGCAGCAGAAAAACACAAATGTGAATGCCATGCAATCTTAAAAACCCACACGTGTTTTTTAGTATATGTTAGACAGCTACAAATTATTTTTAAAGTTGATTTGTCATTCCCTGAGCTGCTGTTGAGATCCTTCTTCCACCTCCTCAGCTTGGACAGTGCAAACAGACAAGTCATTTTGTCTTTGCAAACAGGCAGAAATTTTAGCTAAAATCCCTTTCTTGATCTTTAACAGAGAAGTGCAACAGTGTGGCTGAGCTGCCTGGTGCCTGAAGAGTGTCTGCTGGGGGGAAAAGTGAACCTTTCCCTCAGTCTGGGTTGTCTGTGTGTTTTCCCTCAGTCTGGGCTGTCTGTGTGTTTTCCCTGTTCCTGCCCTGTGAAGTTTTAGGTGGAACATGCTCTAGGTCTCTCCCCAGCAGCGTGCACGGAAGGCTCTGGCTCTTGTGTCGGAGCGCACGTACCTACAAAAGACACTGCAAATAATTCCTTGACTCGCAGCTATTACCTCATTCACAGCAGGGTATGATGTTCTGCTGAATGCAAAGATTAGATTGGGAATTCAAGATCACTTCAAAGTACAAATGAAAATTATTCCTCTTTATTATACAGCAAGTCTTCTGCGAAGGCTTACTGAAATCATTCCCACTTGGAACCAGATTACAGTTATGCTTTGTTGCTTCAAGCACATACCATTTACTCCACTATTAGGTAACTGAATATGCAGCATTTATTGTGCCTGCTTTCTGCCAGCCCTACCGAGGGGGGAAAAAAATGCAAATGCCAATGTTTCTCAAAGTTAAAAGTACATGAAACACGTCCTTGTTATCAGCCCTTTGGTTTTCCCCTTTGATCAGCCGTCAGAAACTATCTACACTTGTAGTCTGTGACTGTACAGCTTCACAGCACACTCCCTGCCACTGACAGGTGGTAATAGAAAGGGTGAGAGACCAAGCCCTGCGGCAGGCGTCCCTTCCTCTGATAACATCCAAAGTACCGGGTGATAACCGTGCGTAAACACTCGGGCAGCCAGTTAATCCATACATCAGCAAAGAGGGGGCAGATAATTTGGAACTCTAATGGCATGGACAAAAGCACCAGGGTTGGCATTCAGGGATTTATATGGGCTGCAATGGTGACTCGTGGCTCCTGAATTTCATCGGCGTTGATTTATCTCCTGGCCTGGCCGCGGAGGAGATTCCTGGCACTAGAAAAAACCATCAACACTAAAATGGAGCTCTAGAAAATGGGCCCGTGGCTCTTGTGTGATACATGCACTTGAACTCTGGATGAATCCCAGTTGAAACCGAGAGGAGGAAGGACCAAATATTTCAACTTTTAATGGGTCTTTGGATTTATAAGGTTACTCCAGTCGACTAATCTGTTTTCGAGCAAGGGTTCTTGAAGCTTGTTTGAGAAAAGTCATTTTGATGATGTTTAAGTCTCTGCAACATTTTTGTGATGTCAGCTCTACTAAAGGGAGGAGGAAAAGCAAAATTTAGTCCTTTTTGAAGCTTTTTTTTCCCCCCCAAGTCATCCATCTGCAGTCTCATGTGACCCTGAGACCTCCACTCTGCATATATTCCAAGCTCCACGGATTTCAGTTGGTTTTGACAGGGCTGTTCTTGTACCCAGAGAGCGAGCAGGGAGGGCTCTTAAACCTGCTTCCCAAACCCCAGGGAAGCAGCAGGGGAGGATAAGCTCCCACAGGTTTGCAGGGTTGTGCCAGAGATGAGAAATCTCTTCTTTCCTGGTGTCTGCCCTTATTCCGAAAGTGAGAAATGGGAGCATTTCTGCTCCTATAAGCAGACATATGAATAATAAGGCAAATGGCTTTTGAAGCTCTGCCAAGATGCCTGCTTATGTGTACAGGGAAAAACTTCATAGAGTGCTGGGCTCTGGCTCCTGAGGTACTTGAGTGAGAGCAAAGGAGACAAGTGCAGCGTTACCTCTGCAATCAGGGCCAGGAGCTGCCAAAACTTCTTAGCAGCAACGTGTGAGGTTGCAAGTGTTAATGCAAATGCAGGTTAGAGGGATTAACTGCACTGAAAGTTTTCTTGTAAGGCTGGGGGAAGCTCTAGTTTTATCTTTCCTCCCTTTTCACTCCTTCTGCACGATAGCAGAGCACATCTGGCAACCCCATGGATGTCCAGACATCCAGCTGTGATTCAGCAGCCACAACTGTACCTTGGGGGGGATCACTCTGCCTGTGAGTAACAGGCAGAGGAGCAATGTGTGCTGCAGTGGAACCCACAAATTCCTCCTTCTTCCACACTGCTAAAACGGGTTCCAGGTAAAGCTGAGCATGCAGAGTGTGTCTGAGCTTATTCAGGGTGTGAGGGTAGAAAATGGGCCCTTGCTTGAACAGGCAAGTCCTCTCCAACCATAAATCCCTGTCTCTGTCCCTCTGTGATGTAAAACAAAACTGTTTCAGGAAAGACAAGACCAATGGTCACGGAGCTTCCTGTTCTTCTTAGCATTGCATCAGCAGACAGCACATGGATCCGAGTAAAATGCCTTTTTTTCCGAGGCAGAATGAAGCCCTGGGTATTTTTACACCTTAGAGAATGCTCCTGTGCAGTGTGTGACAGGGCAGAGGGGCTGGCAGCTCCTAGGAGCCTTTGGGTGCTTTGCCCTGTGTACATCATTCCCAAAGCCACAGGGGCTAATGGCATTAAACTTACACTGATAGCAGCTAACCCTCTCTCTGCTATTTATTAAATTGCAATCTCTCCCTGGCTGCCTCACTCTCCCCTTTTCCATCCCACTATCTCACTTGATAAGGTATCAAATTCCCCATCGTCGGCCAGCGAGGAGTTTACAAATAAACCTCAGCGCAGCGTCCTGCGCTCGAAATCCCCCAAAGTCACCACGGAACCAATGGGCTGAGAAAGCTCCTGCTGATTCCAGGGATTATGAGGGCTGAGGGAAGGCAGGCTACACCCCGTGCTGCCACTGACAGACTGCTGAAACCTACTGACAGCCACCAAGATCAGCCCCTGAGGTGTGAAGCTCAACCTTCCTCCTTGTCCTCCGGCACGGATACGGCTCTGGAGGGGGAACAGGTTCCACCTGAAAGGAGCAATTCATTTAGAAACAACTCAAGAACCAAGCAAATGAGATAGTATTTGAGGCAAGCAATTACTAGTGAAATCCTGATGAAACCTCATGAAATCATTGAAAAAAAATCCCATTGCCTTAAAATTGTGTCAATATTTCATCCTGTCGCGTGGTGCTTTCAACTCTTACTTCTTCCCTTATATCCTGAAGATGGAACTGGGTGGGAATGAAGAGCATCAGTCTCCTTTGTATGATGTCCAAGCACCATCCCAGAGCCATGGCACTACAAATTAAACCCCTCAAATCAACCCGAATGGAAGAAGCAGGACCCATGAACTGATGAGAGAGGCAGAAAGTGCTTTGCTTTGCAATTCCAGCGTGTTTAGCTTTACACTGCCCCAAACACTCTGAGCTAATCCTGCTCCACACACAGGATTTTCCTATTGGAAAACACTCTCCCACTTCTCTCCTTCCACAGACACTTGCCCTTTCCTCCCACTGCTGCCTGAGCAGAATCAGGTCCTCATCTTCCTGCTTAATGTTTCTTGCATTTTATCAATGGCAAAGGCTCCTGTTATTACTCACACCAAATTACCTTGCTTAGACACACAGGATTTGTCTTTAGCACTGCAACTGTTTCAAGGCTTTTAATATAAAAGCAAAATAAATTCTACAGAAGAAAGAGAAAAACCCACAACCCCAAACCTTGGAAATGTCCTTTCATTTCACAGCCCCATCAAGCAAGAGCGAGAAACCCAGAGAAACTTATTTTCTTCTCTGAAAAAAAATCAAGTAGGAAAAGGTATTTCTACAAAATGTTTTAATGCTTCTAGTGTGTTATTTTTCTAAGTCAAAATAGCTAAGCTAAATCTTTCACCATAGCCCTTTAATTCGAAAGCCAGGGGAAATTTTTTTCATTAAACCTCTGGACAGCTTTGTTTAAAATATGAAATCAAGTAGCTCCATTTCCTGTCTTCTGAGGAACAGTAAATCAAAACGAGAACGTTCTCCAAAAATACAGTAATGGTTCTATTAAAGAGCTTGACAGTTTTGAGCCTCACCTTGCATATTGCAACATACGTGTGAGCAAGAATAACAGAGTCACTAGGAGGGGAAATGACCTGAGAATTCGAACCGATAAAAGATGCATCCTGAGGAACGGGACGGGATTTGACCCCCCGTGATTGAGACCATGGGGTGCAACCAAGAGCATCTCAGGGGGACACGAGGGATTGCCCATCTCCTCCCCTACCTCTTCTGGGCCCTTCAGTAGCAGAGGTTGACTTTGAAGGGAGTCCCAACCCACTTGGCACCAGTGCCCGCAGCGTGAGCAGGACAGAGCTGCCCAGAAACACCTCGGCCGGGAGCGAGAACTCCGCGGGCGGGTGGGAACCAGCGCATGGAAACTCCTTCCCCAAAGCACTGAGTCAAATTGTAACATACCCCGTTTAAACATGAAAGGTTGAACTTTCCGACAGGCTCTGCCAATTGCCTTCCGTGCCATGACTTTGTGACTCCGGGGGGAGTGCGGCAGAGCGCTCAGTGCTGGAATGGGGATCTGAGCAAATGCCTATTTGAGTGTGGAGGAAGCAACAGCCCCCGACCTGCCCCAGATCTGGCTGCTGAGCACGTGTCTGTGCCCGTGGCACGTGCTGCTGATCCCCTCCTGAGCAAGGCTCACACGCTGCCATCCCACTCTCCACGCCAGCTTACAGCAT